TGCCACTTTATTCAGCTTTTTGCCAAACTAATATACCTTGGCCCCAGTAAAGGAATTCCCTCCCAGACAGAGGGGAAACTGGCGCCACAGGCGCTGTAGGGATACCTTCCCAGGCCGGGGGTTGGGGGCGGAGAGCAGCAACAGCAGAGAGAACTTGGGCCTGTAGGAATTCTCCCAGGCAGGTGGGAAATTACCATACCAAAATGAAGCAAAACCCTACAGCTAAATCACCAGGCTATGGCAGAGAGAACACAGGAACAGCAGGAAGCTTTAGCTGGCTGACCAGAACTGTCCTCGAGACGCACCCCAGGGAGTAAGGGGAGACGGGCCCTACAGGGGACAAAGCACTTGGTATACACAAGAGAACACACAGAAGTGCTGTCCCAGAATCCCCCAGCCTGGACAGGGGACTGGGGGAAAGTCAGCTAGAGAGTCAAGGCTGGCAGAAAGAATTCCCCAGCCAAAGTTTTGAGGAAATTCCAACCAAAGAAGGAACTCAAATATGCTGCACAGAGAAGGGGCGTTAATGGGGGAAAGGTTGCAGACCTTAGTCACCCCACAACTTTGAAATGCACAGGGGCTGACATAAAAGGGCATGGCTGTGTCAAGTGCCCAAGGAGACAAAGGGGACATAAAAACCTGCCTGAGCAACTCCTGTTGTCCCTGCGTTCTCCACTTACTGTTGGTGTGACCTTTGACCCTTCTGGCCTTGGGTCTCAGTTTTCTGAGGCCATGCCACCTTATGTTTGCCTGTGTCTCATGTCCCCAATCTTGCTTGACTGACAGGATAACTCTGAGAGGAAGGTAGAATTCAGACTTGCTACTTCTGTGACACAGATGAGGATAGTGAGACTCGGCGGTGGGCTGTGACTTGTGTAGGGGTCACGGAAGCGGTGAGCGATGGAGCCGACCAGAACCCAGATATTCCGACTGTGCTTCTGTCATTACGTGTTGGGTATACCTCCAACAACCAACAATGGGACTTCCTTTAGTGCCTTGTGTCTGAGCACACCGGCCTACATATGTTCCTTCATACATAGAGTAGAAAATGTATGGTGATATTTAACACTTGTGGTATATTACACAGTGTAAAAAAACCACATTTTAGAAAGGCGAAACATTGAATACATGATTTTTCAAAGCCACAGGGACTAACACGCATGGATAATTATCGAAGGTTGAGAGCTGGGTACAGGGATTCTTTTGCTATGCCTGTGTCTGAGTTTTACATAAGAGATTATTAAACAGCCGGGGTGATGGCGCACCCCTTTAATCCCAGCACTCTGCCGGCAGAGGCAGGTGCATTTCTGTGAGATGGAGGCAGGCCTGGTCTACATAACGAGTTCCAGGTCCGCCAGAGCTACGTACCTGTCTCAGGGGGGAAAAGTGTTACACAAAAACAGGGCTCCCCAAATTGTGGAAGCTTTGTCTAGTCATCTTGGAACTAGCCACGGAGAAACAGGAAGCTGTTTGGGACATGCTTTCTTCCCATGGGTACCCTCACCTGAGCACGAGAGATGAAAATGGCAAGGCTTGGCTAACTCTGCTTCTGAGGAGCCGAAGCTTGTCTAGCCTCCTCCCTCTGTAAGCGGAGGTGGTGTGTGGTCCAGACAGCAGGGTTCGGAACTACACCTGCCCTGTAACCTACTTCTGCCTCTTGCAGCTTGGATCCTGGGACGATATCTAACTTCTGGGTGTCTCGGTTTCCCCTCTGACTTCTTCAGCAGCTGTTTTGAGGACCCAATGACATCTGCAGACTGCATAAACACATATACTCATGTGTACTAGCAGAACAGTACTTGAAGCTTGTATGTCGCTGTGGCGAGGGTTCCTCCTGGCCTCACCGCAACCCCCGTTCCTACCTTTGACTCCATTTCCTAAAGTGGCTGCATTGAAGAGATGCCAGTCTCCTCTGGGCGAGTGTGATTCAGAAAGAGGGGAAATAGTTCTGGCTTATGTTACATGGGGCAGGAAGCAGAATGAGGTGGGGAAAGTGAGATAATGGTTTAAGAAAACACATTTTCGCATGAGGCCAGCCACGTCGCCTCCGTGACCCCTCACACACCGCCTGCCTCTCCAAACCCACCTGTCATCTCTAATGTAGTGATTCAGAGCAGGTGTCCCTGAGGTTTCTTGCAGAGTTGCCTTTTTTGGCTGTGTCTTAGGTTCTTGGGAGTTTAAATTTCAAGCACTGCCACTGGTTTAGAGACTGATCACAGGATCTCTTCGTATTGGGACCTAACAGTGCTACGTCACTCGGTGCTTTATATTAACTTTCAAATGGCAAATCAGACATTTTAAGAGAACAAATGTGTCACGTTGTCTACCACACATACATAATGATTGGTTGATAAGTCAGGAATTTGTAATAGAATGTCAACCTAAAATATGTATATCATGTAACCCAATCTCCATTAAGGCAGTGACACATTGCTGGCCTATCTCTTTACAGTGCTTTATTACAGTCCACATCTAGTCATATATAAACCTGAGATACATAGTGGGTGCTGACCCACTTCCTAGATCCTTGTGTTGGGATTTTCTAGAAGCTGTGACCATAGTTTTATAAAAAACTGCATAGCTTTTATGAAAAGATACAGCTATGTCTATAAGGGCACAGTCATGATATATAGATTACATAGCTAATAACCATGAACTATAAATAGCCGTTATTTCAGGGTAGGTTCCATTCAGGTGATCTTTTACTTTCTTCGTCCTTGCTTGTGGTTTTTGTTTTTGTTTTATGGTACTGAAGGCTGAGCACCCAGAATATGCTACTTCTACATGCTAGACAAGTCCTCTACCACTGAGCTCTATAGCTGTATCTGAGGCGCATGTACGATTGAATTTATACGTGCGTGCGCGCACGCGCGCGCACACACACACACATATATGTATATATATCCATATATATGGTTGTATTTTTTCATTTTACACTGTCACTTTACACCCATTTACAAAGTCAGGGGAAATAAAACCTCTTCGGGGCATAAGGAAGAGAATATTGAGGCAGGACACGGTGGTGCCTGTTTGTATGCTAGCACTTGGGAGGCTGAGATGGAGAGTATGGGTTCAAAGCTGGCCTGGGATATAGAGCGAATTGTCTAAACAAACAAACAAGCAAGCAAGCATATTAAGAGGTCAGGGAATGCAGCTAAGTAGTCGAACCTCAAATACACAAGGTTCTGGGCTTAATCCTGCAAATCCTAACAGTGTCACTCCCTGTGAAATTGTGGGAGCCAATTATATTCAAACTACTACATATAGCTAGAATTGATGTTTGCTATAAAAGCTGTGAAGTTGCACACACACACACACACACACACACACAGGTGTGTGTGAGAGAGAGAGACTTTATTAAGTACACAGACTTAGATATTGGCATAAGGATACAATTTTTGAGAGAGGGCTTTTCTGTGTAACAACTCTGGGAGGATATAATTCTTAAAGGGAAAAAAATGGCAAAATGTCTGAGAACACTAACAGTCTCTTAGGGCAATGAACCTCTGACCCATGTTTTAAAATGTGATGTTTTAGGTATTTTGCCCAGTGATTTCATTCTAGCGCTTCTTGGCTGTCTTCCTAAACTGACCACAACTGAGAGAGTCTCAAAAGCGTCCAGAGCTGGGACAGCTGGTTTTCTAAGGACAGTCAGTAGCCAAGCCCCCTGCCTTCAGAGCCTGTTGTGTGTTTGCCTCCAGCGTCTGGACTTGCTGCAGGCTGCGGTGACCTCAGACCTCAGACTGCTTCTTTTTGGTCTGTTCTTCCCAGGACTCTTTAGACAGCAAGACCCTCACAGACCACACTTCTGCCTGTGGCAGTGTAGGCCATCTGGGCCGTGGCTCTTGGAGCTGGGTTATCGGGAGAGCGTGAGTGTTGAACAATAGCAGGGGAAGCTGGAGTGGGCTTTCTGCTGATAGTCTCCAGACAGCACGTCTGGGGCAGGTGGGGGCCTGGGCACACTTCCTCCATGGTGGCACCTTGTCGCCTGTGCTCTGAACCATTTTCTTCTTGAGAACAAAGGGTCATAACTTAGCGTAGCTCAGTTCCCACTGTTCTGGGCGAAGCAATGGTTTTTGGGAACTACCTGTTCATCCCTTAGAGCTTCAAGTGAGGGCTCTGTCCCCTTCTACCATACCCCAGAAGCCAGTCAAGCAATATCCTACTTAGAACTTTTCCTCTTCCTCCTCCTCTTCTTCCCTCTTTTTCTTTTCTCCTTCTTTCCTCTCTTATTCATGTGCTTGCCTCAGAGTCCCAAGTGTTGGGGCTACAACTGTGTGCCACCTACCATGTCTAGATCTGAGAATTTAAAATTTTTTTATACAGTTTATTATTGAAAACCTTTCAAATGAATAAAACACCACATACCAAAATTAACCAGATCCCAAATCTATGCAACTTTATAAGTTTACATATAGTGTCTTAGTTAGGATTCCTATTGCTGTGAAGAAACACCATGACCACAGCAACTCTTATAAAGAAAAACATTTAATTGGGGTGGCTTGCTTACAGTTTCAGAGGTTCATCATGGTGGGGAGCATAGCATGCAGGCAGATGTGATGTTGGAGTAGCCGAGAGTCCTATATCTTGCAGGCAACAGGAAGTCGACTGAGTCACTGGGCAGCATCCTGAATGTAGGAAACATCAAAGCCCGCCCCCTCAGTGACACACTTCCTCCAACAAGGCCACACCCACTAAACAAAGCTACACCTCTGTGCTACTCCCTATGAGATTATGGGGGCTAATGGCATTCAGACTACTACATATAGCTAGAATTGTTGTCTGATATAAAGCTGTGAAGTTTCACATTAAATTTAGTACTTTTAGTATTGAATATATTTTATGCACTAATCTACCACCAACTTATATTCTCTTTCATAACTCATGTCCATTGCTTGCATTTTTCTCAGAATTCTTTTTTTAATAGGAAAAAATGTACTCATTAATCAGATTCTATGCAGTTAAAGCAGGGACAGAGCCTTTTTCAGAATGAGAGTATATGAAGGAAGCATGCCATTTTATTTAAATTGCAAATAAAACTCTTTTAAAAAATGAATGAAAGTAGAAACCATCCAACCGTCTATCCTGGAGAAAGCAAGAACTAACTGCCGATGCATGAAGCTAGATGCTTAGTGGGCTCATGATGCTTCTGGAGGCCTGGAGCTCCCTGAGCAGCTGGTGGTTTCCAGCGGGTGCTGGAAGTCAGAGGCCACTGCGGGAGCAGTTTTCTCTTGTCTCTTCCTGCTCGGGACTGCCAGGGAAATCTCTGCTTCAGCTTCGTCACAGGAAGGTGGGTACTGACTGTGCAGTGCACAGGCCAGACCATCGCAGGTCGCAGTTAGCTTTTCTTGAGATATGCTTGACTTGAATTGCAAGCAGAATAAAGTGAGTACTGATGATGCAGCAGGAGTAATTACACTGGAGACAGTCCACGTGGCCACGCTGTTCACAGGGTAGCAAATTCCAGAAAGCACTTCATCTGGGCCCGCATGTATGTTGGGAAATAGGGAGACCTCCATCCTAGATAGAACCAGCAGTTAGCACCCTGCAGTCAAAGGGTCGACCGGGTGTCAGCACAAGCCCTCATAAAGGAAAGAAGGAGGAGTTCCCTCACCTCCAGAGAAGTCTTCATTTGCGCAGGTTGGAAAGCAAATCCCACCGAGGAAACAGAAAATGGAGAGGAAGTGGACTTTTCACATTTCTCAGAATTCTTAATGAGATCAGCTCCAGGCATTATGTTTACGTGCGTTCATTCACTTTAGAAAAAGAAAAGTATGAAAATACTCATTTAGTGCTTACTATAATCATACAGATGATATTTACCAAGTGTTCCAGTTTGTTTTCTGTTGCTATAACAACAGAGCCCATCATGGTGGCTGGCAGGGGCAGAAAGCCGAGATCACACCTCAACCACACAAAGGGAGCAGAGAGTGAACTCGAATGTAGGCGGGGTTTTCTATGTAGAGTACTAATCAGCTAGGTCCTGCCAACCACTCCCCCAAATAACCACACAGAGACTTATTCTTAACTACAAATGCGTACGCTTATTTTTGGCTAGCTCTTATAACTAAAATGAACCAGTTTCTATTAATCTGTGTGCTGCCCTGAGGCTTTGATTGCCTCGTGTACGTACTTCCCGTCCTGCTCACTCTGCATCTCATGGCATCTCCTCTAGCTCCGCCCTTCTCCCCTGCCCAGCCATTGGCCAATCAGTTTTTTATTAACAATGGGCACAGCACATATCCACAGTGTGCAGAAGGATTGTTTCACAGCACTGGAACTGTCAAAGCCCACCCCCCACTGAGTTCCTCACTTCCCACCTCCCCAAACACCACCAACAAAGGAGCAAATGTTCAACTATCTGAGCCCGTGGGGGACATTTCTCATTCAAATCGCCACTCCTGTACCGACAGTGTGCCAGGGCTCAGGCTAAATGCCTTAAACATGAGCTCATTTAATTTTCACGGTAGTTTTATGAGATTATCATCTCCATTTTACAGATGAGAGACTTGAATAAAATTCAGGTCTACAGAATTAAGAAATCCAGGCCTATCTTACCTTCAAGCCTACATTCTCCAGAACCAAATGAGTGCTCAAGTCTGTGACCTTGACAGACACAGTCCTTGCCCATAGGATACTTCCACTGTCATAGGAAAGAAAGAAGGGTGAATTCCATGCGGGGAATATGGCTAACCAACATGAAGGCAAGGTGGATGGCAGTCAAAGCTGCCCAGTTGGTTCATCTGTGGCTGTGAAACTGCATCTAGAATATTTTGGGAATGTCGGTCTAGCCTAGAAATGTGAGCCTGCTTATCTAACCTGTGAGTCCTAGCTATGGAGGTGCTGTGGGTATATGGTAGATTCAAGGCTTAATATTCATTGAGAGCGATAAAGAAAAATGTATAGATTCAATATGGAGAATGGCCGTTCTTGCCCCCAGATCATTTAATTCATCTTGCCCAGCAATCCTGGAACACCATCCGGCAAAGAGGGTGAGAGAGTCTTTTCCTTCCAAGACATTTCTTCTGGCAAATAGTTGAGGACTCTAAACATGGCCAGTGATCTTCTGGGCCTTTGTTTGAGAGGAAACAGAGTCCTTTCTGAATAATGGAGCAAGCACATCCATCCGTCAGGTCCATCCCCAAACATCTCTACTTTCCAAGTCTTAGCGGGGAGATTTGCAGGCCAGAGACAGCAGAAAGGGTCAATCTTGCGTCTCAGCCCTCTGGGATAGACACAAGCTTCAGAAAGTACATGATTACTCATATTTTAGTCTGTCTCCATGAAAGTCAAACATTTTATTTTTATTCTAAGTACTTTGGTAGATAAAGGACTCCCCGCCGCCCTAATCTGTTCCTACAAAGATAGCAAAAGATCATGTAAAAATATATTCCAACTGACGGCGATTCTTCAAGGGAGGAAAACGAATTCAGAACTTTATAAACAGCCTATTACAGGAATAACAAACATCGGATCACGCTTCTGAAGTTTTATAATTGCCGGGTCAAAAATTTCGGGACATTTTCCTGAGTGTTGTGCCGGCTGCCAATGCTTTCTTGCGGCTTTAGTTTACCTCAACACACATGGACTGAGCCTTTACTGTCCCGGGCAATATGGAAAAGGGGCTCCACCTGGACTCCAAAAGTGGGTTCAACCCAGAGTTCTTTAAGCTGCCCGTTCATCAATGTCTTTTTTCTGTCAAATAAAGATCAGACCTAACCAGCAAGGATCATTAGAGGATCAACATGGTGATTTTCATGGGCTCAATAAATGGCATTCCCATTCCCTGCCCAAGTTAGGAAGAAATGAGAAGGACAGGCAAAGCAGCCAGGCAGAAGGAGGTCAGTATGTTATATTACCTCACTTACCCATGGGACGAAGTTCAAAGGCCTGGCTTAGGACATGCAGCAACATTGGGCTTTTGTTCTTCTCAGCCCCCTTGCGATGCTGCGTATGGACGTGCTCTTGCCCGATGCTGAGTAAGGCAGAGCTTGCTTCCTTCTCACAGGCAGCTCCCGGGGTGAAGGAGCAGGAACCTGATTGAACTTCACTTGCCTTGGGTCTTTGTGGGTCACGGCTACTGTTGTCTCATGGGCCCCCTCTTCCCATGTGAATTAAGTCATGTGAATTAGGTGAATGCTACTAATACTATATTTAAAATATTTTCCTTGATTTAAAAAGATCTTTTCTACAGATTTTTAAATAAACTGAAGCATTTTTTGTGCACTGTATAAAACAAGCATCAGGAACTCTGGCTACTGTGCCTGATGGATATAGTGTCCCTTGTGTCCAGTCTTGCTCCCAGCATCCCCAACTAGACAATCTTCTTCTCCTGCCCTACAGTGACCCCACAGATGGAAGTAAGTGTTGCCCCAAATGGAGACATGAGTTCAGGGGACAGGATACTCTCCATTCTCCACAAAACAGTAAAGTTCTAGAGAGAATTGTGTGATAATAGCCTAGATGGAATAAAACGCCAAGGTGAGCTAATTACAACCCAAAGCAAGAGGGAAATCAACTCAAAATTGAAGAGCAAGTCCCACGCTGAATGGATGCCCGGAAGCAATTCCTTGAGGTCCTGATATTTCAACTCTGTCTTGCAGGATAAAAGATTTTTGCTAGATAAGGATTTGATCAAGGTAGAATGGAGCGAAATGAAAGAGACATTCCAGACCCCTGGAAACACGTAAGGCATTCTGGAAGTGGAGGAATTCAAAACCCTCCACCTGTCCCAACTCCCTGACTGCTCTATTGGCATTGCATATCAGAGGAGGAAGGGAGGAAAGTCCCCATTCGTTCAGTGCACACCCTTCACGGGGTGCTTAACACACAGCTTGCTTATTCTCCTCCAGTATTTAGAGGTGGATTGGTAACTCTCCTTCTTCTAGACAAAGAAGTTGAGACCTTGAAATTTTCAGTGACTTGCTCCAGCACCTCCTGGGTATCAGCAAGAGGCCAGCAGCCAGAACCCAGGCTCCCAACTGCCTTCCCAGAGCCCTGTCCACGCCTTCCTCCGAGACTTCAAAGGGTTGTTCTGAGAGCTGTACAAAAAGGAATTCTTACAATTATATTTTAGGAAGAATGTTTTTCCAGAGATTCATTTCTGACATTCCATTCCACAGACTCTCAGGCTCCGGGATGCTTTTCTGTTCCTCACCTGCTCATTGTCTGCTCAGGGCCTTCATCTGCTGGCAATGCCCTTTTCTGACCTCTTAGGCTGCATCAAGATTCCTGCTGTCCTGAGGGCCCCAACAGGGGCTGTTCCAGGCTCCTGGCACTGAGCAGGCTCTGTATGCTTGTCCTGAGACCACGCTGGGCTTGTAGGAGCTGACAGTTAAGTGCCCAATGTGTAATATGCACTTGTACATATATATGCCCACTCTTTTATCTGCTCAACACTCCCAGGGCACACGCATCGTTAAAACTAGACAAGGATGCTGCGACTCAGAAATGTCAACTAATTTTCAGAAGATGACACAGGTCTCATTGGCGGTCTGAGGCAAGATTCAGTTTCCCCATCCCACTACGAACTTGCCCTGAATGAGTGACGGGTTCTAGTAGAGCCTCCAGCTTCCTTCCCACCAGGTGCCACTTGGGAGAACCGACCTTTCTGCTTTTGTTCAATTACTTGCAGTCTTTCAAACTACTTTTAGTATTTGGGTCCTCTGTTGTTCTGCCAGTGATGCTTTTTATTTTTTTAGAAAAAGAAAAGAAAGGAATGTCTCAATGTGGTCGGAGCTCCAGCCTATACAGCTTTCAGACTTGGGATCCTTATGTCCAGGACTCTCAATGGCAGGGAGGACAGGTGTGTGGTGCCATGCTTGGCTTCCAGTCATTCTTTTGCAGGCTTTTTTTTTTTTTCTCTTTCATCTAGCTTCATCCAGTTCTCTCTCTCTCTCTCTCTCTCTCTCTCTCGCTCGCTCGCTCACTCTCTCGCCAAAGGGTAATGCTGGAAACTTGAATGTATAAATCTTGCCTGAGAAGCCCCCTTGGTAGACCAAGTCTTGAGGGACCGTCCATGTACTCTATCTCTTTAGCATTCCTTCGCCCACACCAGCACGCCATCCTGGGCCCCTTCCCTTTTGATATTAGATTATTACCCCCTGCAATACCACGGAGCTTTGCCTTGAATTCCAGCTCTGTGACTGGACAGCGGGGTGAGTTTGGGCAGGTGCTTCAGACTCTCTGCTTCTGTGCTAATTCTCCCGGCATCAGCCTTGTAGGGGTGCTTTGAGAAGAAAGCACACGCCTGCAGCACTTCAAGTGTGCCTGGTGGAGTATATACACGCCGTAAATATCAGTGGTTTTTACTGTCACTCTTTCCCAGGGCTGGGCCAAGGGAATGTTCTCCCCCTGGAACTTGGCTCCTGAGCAGAGTGTCTAGAAGACACGAGTACGTCTGAACGGATTCATTTGGCCCGACAGAAATGGTCTGTTGGTCTCTCTGCTCGCTGATCCGGGGCAGTCCTTCTTCCTTCCTCAATCTGGAGTTCCAGCTATTTTTTTTAAAAATCTGTACCCCTCTTTTCACAAACTTCCCCACCTTCTTGCTCCTCCCCCTCCTCCCTCTCTCATCTTCCCTTTTCAGCTTAGTCAGCCTTGGTTTCTGAACTTGCTGCCAAGGAACATTTACTAAGTCAACACCCCCCGAAAGTGGCCCCTCAGCCTCGGGTTAAGTGCTTCATAAAACAGCCTCTTCTTGTGAATTGATAAACTGCCTCCAAGTCCTTCCTCATCTCGGGCCCAGATTTCTATCTACACGGGGCCCTGTAACCAGAGCGCTTGGGCCTGGCACCTGGCTCTATCATTTACTTGCCTGGTGCCCGAGATGAGCTGTTTAGCCACAGTGCCTCAGTTTCCCCATCTGTCAAACATGATAATAATACTAACCGCTTTATGGGAGCTGCAGGAGACTAAATGCTGGAATCCTCTTGGGGTACTTCGAGTGATGCTGGGGAAGAGCGGGGTGTCAGCGCCCTCCTGTCTGCTCATTCTGATCCTGGTACCATCCTTTGGAGCAGCTCAGAATAAATCAAATTAGCTATTTAAGAGCCAAATTCACGTCATTCCCTCAGGACATCCCCTCTGCCCTGCTTCTCCCCCAGCCACCTGCAGGCCTCTTCCCTGTCAGGCCAATCTCCTTGTAGTCTCTATTGGCCAAACTAGAAAGATCTAAGTTTTAAAAATCGTCATCTTCCTGCCTCATTTTACCCACACTAAAACACCAGCCTTTTTTTAAGGCTTTGTCTTTAAAGTCCACCCACGTCCTCCAGTCCCTAGGTCATCTATGAGTGACCCTAGACACTATTTATCTGAGAGTGGAGCCTGAAGTCAGGAGGCATAGAGACACCCTAGGACACCAGCCCCCAACCCCACCCGGACCTGTGGACCAGCTGGCAAGTTCCTGTTCTTTGCCTGTCCTTCCCCAGATGTGGCGTGGCTCTGCGCTGGATTGTGTCTGATTGTTGGTATGCCACTAAGAAGCCTGAATGGTCCCCGAGGTGTGGAGAACAACAACCCGTTGGACAGTCACCTCACTTACTTGGCTTCTGGTGGTTAGAATACATTAGTTAATTCCTCATTGTAACTGATCTGTCATAGGCAGAAGAGTCCCTCCTCCCCAAACCAAAAGGGCACTGTTCTTACAAATGAGGACATTAAAACTTGGAGCTAAGGAACTTGCCCATGGTCATACAGGCACCTAATGACTCAGCTTGCATTTTGGTCTTCAGCTCTTAATTGCACGCTTTGTCCGAAGGCTCAGGGGTTTCAGTACTGTTTCTGAAGGGGCTCCCCTTTACAGCACCCCCTAAGGGCCTATAGACTTTCTATATATAAGCTAGGTAACTCTGGGTGTAGAGTCGCAGCTTAATACTTGGTAAGGCCTCGGGTGTATCTGGATGAGAGAGAATGGACAGGAGAAACAAAAGAGCCCTGTCTCAGGCAAGTCAAGTTGCATCATTTTTCTGTCTTCCCCCTGGCAAGCCCACAGGAGCTTCTAACCAGGGTCTTTCTCTTAGGATCTCTTGTCTTAACTACGTTTTTATTGCTGTGATATAACATCATGGCCAAGATCAATTTGGAGAGGAAAGGATTTATTTGACTTACACATCCTGGTCACAGTCCATCATGAAGGGAAGTCAGGGAAGAATCAAGGCAGGAACCTAGAGGCAGGAACTGAAGCAGAGGCTGGGGGATGCTGCTTACTGACTTGCTCCCATGGTTTGCCAATCCTGCTTTCTTATACAAGCCAGGACCACCTGCCCAGGTGTAGCACCATTAACCATGGGCCCTCCCATTACCAGACATTAATCAAGAAAATGCTCCCAATAAGCCAAGTTCGTGGAGGCAATTCCTTCATTAATATTCCCTCTTCCCAAAGACCTCTAGCTTGTGTCAAGTTGATAAAATCAACCAACCAACCAACCAACTAACCAACCAACTAACAAAACCCAGCCAGAACATCTTTTGAGAGATTGTAAGAAAAACAAACTTTTGACTTTGCCAGTAGTGAGGCGTGCAGCTGGCAGACAGCAGCCATCATGGGGTACAGCCATGGGAGAGTGAGCACTGTGGGTGCTCGGGACCAGGAGCCTCGAAAAGAGTGTATACGACAATGGTGCCAGTGTGGACTCTGAGTGGCTTATGAGCAGTTGCAGAATGTCAGTGGAGGAAATGAAAGCTCTGAATTCGTCTGGGTGGTGAGGACTTTGAGGCTACCCAGAGGACGCATTCAAGAACCAGCCAGGAGCTGGAGAAATTCAAGTGGTGAAACTACATTTCAGTTGATGAGAGCAGGAACTGGTGGGGCACTCCGGATGTGCAGCTGAAGCACGCATGGAATCAAGTGGATGGATATTGAGCCCGAACGGAGGCAGCGAGCGGGGGCGGATGCACAAAGCTGGGACAGCAGATTCCGCTGATTTGAGATAGCCTCGTGGACGACACATCTGGCAGCTTTCAGCCAAGCGGGGAACAAAATTTAGCTCTGGCTTTTTTCAACCAAGGCCAAGCATCCAGTGGCAATTCTGGAACAACAGACTGTCAGCCATTGGTGAATCCGGCTTCATTTTATCAGATACCAGCTTTGACAAGGCTGATGAGTCACGGGACTAGGGTGCTTCTTTGGTGAAGAATGTCAAAATGAAGACGTGAGAAACGAGGCATTCCAACAACTGACAGTTCACTGATGGCCCTCCTGGGCCTGCGAAGAAAACGTGTTCCGTGGCTCTAGGGTAGACCAGGTAAAAGAATCGAATCGATCACGGTACAAACTACAGTGGCTGTTCCCAGTGACGGCAGGCCATTGAAGCTTTGCCTGCGATTGAGACCTTGCCATCTTGGACCAGGAGTTGAAGGAAATCAGGTTCTTTACAAGCTGTTGATAGTGACTCCACTCTGAACGGCAGACTACCGGAGCCCATAACTGAGACAGACAATTCACCTCAGAATAACAGAGGCGTGTGCCTGTATGATTTCCTTCAAAGACAGTTATTAACCCTGAATCTTGTGTTCTATATGGAAGGCAGATAAAGTTTGACAAGCTGTCTTCAAAGTGTCAAGAATGTTGTTTGGTCTTTTAAGAAGGTCAGGACTGTGTCCTCTTCCCTGAATTTCTCCCCTGGTAGGGACACGTGTCCAGACTGGAGAGCCAATGTCAGTGGATTTTGTGTCCTAGAGCAAACAGGTGGGTTTCCCGCAGTCAATAAACCCCGGGGATACTAGGCAGAAATGGCTTTACTTGAGGTATGAAACAGGGAAAATTTGCCTTGTTGACCTAAGTTGGTGGCAGACTTGCTTTTGTCCCCAAACCTGTTAGTGCTCTTGGAAAGATTATACAATCACGGTGACAGGGTGCGAGACAAGTTGGCATTCAGGAGCGGTCACGGGCACCCAGTCAGCTCACTTTAGCCTCGTATCCATGATGTTGAGCTCCTGTTGTCATGCTGGGTGCAGATGTTCTTATTCCGCCATCGTGAACTGATTCCAGGATTCCAGGGGCAGAGAAAGCAGAGGTTCCATCACCTTGAGTTAACACTTGATGTTCTGGAACACTGTCACTGGGTCTGAGTCAGGCACAGCAGGGACAACTATTGTAGGGCCAAAGACTTAAGCTGGATTGGCAACATCCATCTTAGTGTTCAGACTCTGAGCCACTCTCCGCAAGGGAAGCCTGAGGAAGGCCAGTGTGTCCCTGTTGGCCCAGGGCGGTTCACTGACAGCCCGGTACGTGGCCTCTATGCTGCTGTCTTCATCTGTTATTTCTGCTGCCTCCGTGAAAACACTGCTTAGTGAAAAGGTCAGAAGGGGTTCTTTGAGGTTTCGAAGGAAGTCTTTCAGGAGGCTACAGATGTCATGGGTCATCCACTTCGCTGAGTACAGTTTTCACATTGAGAAATTTCTTTCTCAGCTTTTTTTTACTGTACGGTCACAGCCAGGGATCCTGCGTGTGCCAGCCTCAGTCAGACCTCTCAACCCAATCTCAGACACACAGCTGATAGCAGTAGCAGGGATTGTGGGAGAAATCTGGGACTAAGTCCACCGACACCGACACTCCCTCTCCAGTCTTGACAAGTGTTCCCACCAGGGGAGAAAGGCAGGGAAGAGGACACAGTCCCGACCTTCTTGAAAATCAAATGACAGTCTCGGCACTTTAGAGACAGATTGTCAAACTTTCTCCACCTTCCACATGGAACACAAGAATCACACTGTCCAAGTAGGGAGAAATAGAGTTGCCCAGCCCCAAGCTCTTGAAGTGAAGCTGAAGTCATGGTATGATCCAAGATAGGCCAACAGAGAACTCGTCCTGGAGATCCCTAGAGATTGCAAGAAGGTCCTGTCTCAACCTTTTATTTGGCCCCCTGATCCCTACAAGGAGGTTTGTGACTCACAAAGCTCTTAACAATGCGCCCCTATCTCGCCTTTCTCTGTGAGTCACGCTCCCGTATACCTGTTGGTCTGTCTGTCCACATACCTGTTGGTCTGTCTGCGCAGAAATACTCTCCAGTCAGGCTTTTGCTCATGCTGTCCCCAGAGCGTAGCTGTTGCTCCCCCATTTCTGTCTCAGCAACTTGTACTCACCCTTCAAGGCACACCACGATGTCATCTTCTCTGCGGGGCCTGCCCTGGAGCTTCCTGACTTGTTTCCTCCTCAGTTCCTACAGATTTTGGTCCTGCCTTGCTACAGTAATTATCGTACTGCTAGGCTGTTCACTGTGAGGTTAATGCACACACACTGAAACCACACTGCCTGGTCTCAAATCCCAGCTACACCACTGACCAGCTGTGTGCCCTTGGCCAAGGTTTCTCTTCCCAGCTTCCTGTTACATAAAACAGGGCTGTGAATATTTACCTCCCAAGGTTTTAAAAGGGTTCAATAGACTAGTGCGTGTCAAGTGCTTAGACCACTGCCTGGCACACAGCTATTATTATTATGACCTTTACCTGTTTGCCATTAACATTCATGGTCTTTACCTGACTGGATCCACCTGCGCATCAACCACCATGGTCAGGCCAATGGTAACCCACATCAATAAGCTGGATCTAAAGGTGTATGAGGGTTCCCACAGTTCCTTGTGTATACACCATGTGAACAGATGCAGACACATGGCTCTTGAGTTCCAATCTCTGCTCCCCTGAGCTCACGGCTCTGCTCTGATGTCTTTACAGTCCCCAGCAGCACGAACTGCTCGGTCCCCACAACCCAGACAAAAGATACTACAGTGCTCTTGTAGACATCTCGGTGATTTCAAACCAAGACAGGGTTTCTTATTCTAACTAGTTATCCGGCTAGTCTTATGGGGTGCTCACTGGTGACATCATGTATTGTCTCTCAGAGAAGTCTGAGCAGAATGCTGAAGACACCATTAGGCTTGGGGCTTCTAGTTCAGATGCCATGTCTGAGTCAGTAGTATATCTACTCCACAGAACAGTACCAAACCCAGTGGTCATTTAAAACAAAGAGCAGGCTAACCAAATCAACATATAAGGCAACAGATGAACAAACTAGGTGGGGCCTAGTGGCACAGGTTGGTAATTCTGGCCACTTAGAAAGCTGAGTCAGGAGGATCACAAGTTTGAGGCCTACCTGAGCTACAAAATAAGTTCAAGACCAGATTAGGCAATTTAAGGAAATCTCATCTCAAACTAAAGAGTTTTACTTAAAAAAAAAAAAGAAAGAAAAGAAAGAAAGAAAGAAAGAAAGAAAGAAAGAAAGGAAGGAAGGAAGGAAGGAAGGAAGGAAGGAAGAGAAAGAAAAGGCAGGGGTGGTGGTGTCAGAACATGGTAGAGTTCAGTGCTTGGAAGTAGAGACCTTATCCAGTGTATGGAAGTCCCTGGGGTACATCAGTACTCAGACAAGCAAACAACAGATCAGTTATGTGTCCTCAGACAAGGTCTCCTGCCTAGACTACAGAAGAAGTTCAAGACCAGATTGAGCAACATAGTGAAAGTTAAGTGGGCCACGCGTTACTGTTAGCTTGAACACACCTGGTATATGCCACAAAGTGAGGGTCGGAGTGGCTGGCTGACTCTGCCTGGGTTTTCTCTACTGACCTCTGATTGACACATGGCTGCAGATCTTGACTCGTTTGTGTTCTCCTCCTCCCTGTATCGTTATGGACTTTATCCTGTGCCACTATCTGGAATAACAGTAACCTGGAAATATCCTTTACCCATCTCCAGAGCAAGAGCAAATACGGTTGGGTACCTAAGATGAACCTGGACTTTCTCCAAGGTTTGGCTTTGTATCAAGATACCTGATAACTTAGAATCACAGACACATGGACTGTTAGGACTGCAATAAGGGGTCCGTGGAATTTAACCCGAGCTCTCCCCTTTACCAAGAGGCCAAAGAGTAACTATCAAGGCTGCTTGACTGTATGTCAATTAGACCCTGAGCTCTGCTCTCCTCAAGTCTCTCCTGAGTTGTGCATTTCCTCCTGGCCTCTCACTGCCCCACCAACCATGGTCTCTCATACATAGCCTTGCCGTCAAGTGACGAGCTGGGTCTTAGCCCCAGGGAATTGCGGGAGTCCACAGAAACCAGGCAGGACTGGGAGTATGCTGCACAGTGTTAGCAGGCTCAATGGCAAGCCTGAGCTTTGCAAACTCTTAGCTCTTCAGGATTTAAACTTCCACCTCTGCTCACCCAGAGGCACCCCCAGCCC